TGAATGGAAGAAAATTACGCAACGCGGATCATCGCTTGACATGTCCCCTTCACCCTTGTATTCAACACCTTTATATTTACGTCCACACAGTGTCAGCTTTACAAATAGGTAATATTTGCACGTAACCCAAAATTCGTTACTATAATAAAGACGAAAATAAATGGTCTTTTAACATAAGAATTCCTCCAATTCTGGAAAAGCAGAGTGTTGTGCAATCAAGGGGTCTACTGTCATATAAGTAATAGATAGATAGATAAACCGTTTATTTGGATCTAGAGACACACATACAATCAGAAAATTATGTAATATAATAAAAACAAAAAAAACCAACAGAGTCGCACACAGCCGAACACCCAGTTATGTATGTGTGATGTAGCAGTGCAAATAGGCCATAGCTCAGCGCCGGTGTTTACTCAGGAGCAAACCGCTGTTGAATTTGTGAAAATGTTGTATAAATTAAACAAATAATAATTTCGAAACTAAATAAATACGGAAGATAATATAAATATAATAAATGATTTTTTTTTTTTAATTTGATTTAACTTTGTTAATAATATAACAAAATTATAAATTGAAATTTTAAGTGATTATTATATAAAAGTTAATTTAATTATAAATAGGTAAATCCTGTTGCTATTACACAATGGCATGTAGGCAATTTTCGCTACTTAAGCAAAGCGCTGTGGAATATATAAACTGGTAAGAAAGACTCGGCGATCGTTGTAGAGTTGCAATCTCGTACTCCTGCTTCAGTTTTTTTTTATTTATTCCTTAATTAATAAAAAAATTACTCAAATTCAAAATATTCTTTTCAGGAACGGTTTTCATAAGAGTAACCTTCTTTTCCTTCGCAATACTATGTAATAATGTAGGTATTTTATATCTTCTTTAGATGAAAATATTCCAAAGCAAACTAAAAATGTTGGACTTGAAAAATACTGGGCTGCCATGGTAGAAGTCCCTAGATTCCCGGGCCGGGAGATATATTTGCATGGATTACATTTATTTCTCTCGTGAATTTGGGTGTAATTTGCACTTTAGTTGTCTATGTGTGTGTCCATAGCACCCGCAATGCAGGGTTTCCCTAGTGCGGGGTTATGAGTGTGTGCATTATAAAAAATATTCAAGTATTGTAGTATTAAAATACAGATATTAAAGTATTTGTGAGTCCTAACCAAGTAGCGTATATAAAAAAATAAAATCATTTAAAAATACATGTAATGCCATCTATTGGAATATTACTGATACTTCTGCTAAATGTTTACTAGAAATAGAATTATTATTTCCAATAGTAAGTTATAAGTAATATTACAATAGAGTACCAATTAATTTTCGAGATTGTTGTTTTGAAATTGTTTAATTGGTATTATATTCGTAAAAAAATTATGCGTGATCGGAAAAAAGTCGGATTTACGAAGACTCTAGTATAACGCATGAACGCACATTACTACAATCCGGTTATTTTTTTATTTTCGGCATATGTGTGACATTTGGCTCATCATCGGGACCTTGACATCGCATGCGATAATCAAAGTAGATGTGAAGGTTGGATAATTGTTTTGACCCGGACCAAGAATAAGTCACGGTTCACCAGCAACTCGGAAGAACAAACATTAGCAGTGCATCGCTAGATTGCGGCATAAGAAACAATCAGTTCTTGTAATGTCTTGGTTGTTCCGTCTTTAGTCTGTTATTAACCTAAATTTCTAATTGATATTGTACGTTGGACCAAGATCTTGCCTTTCTTCACTTGTATATTATTCAGTTTTTATTGAACGCACATAACGTATCTCTCGTTTTCCTAGGCACGTTCTTTGTCCCGTTTTCTGATATTCACAAGTCATGGACGTGATTTGCGTCTGATTTTGAAATTTAGTAGGTTGTCCTTCATCGTGATCAATTTGAAATTAAATTGGATATTACCTTTTCAAATGTTTAGCAACATAATAATTGCTCATCAACTTATCCGTGACATTCGCGCGGTCGTGATATACGCTTGGCCTTCGACCTTGACTAGTTGGCAATGAAAGTTCTAGAATGTTGGTTCATTTGCACATGGATCGATTGCTTAAAATTAATTTAGTTTGAGGCAGAAACAACACGTCATTCAAGTTTGTTCCACATTATTTTCTTTCACCGTTGTCTACGCTTTAACAATGTCAGCATGGTTTTCCTTGGGTTGGTGTTTTCATCACCATGCGGGTACTCTTTGTAATTCAAGGTCAAGTACTCCTTTGTATATCTAATTGATACTTACATAAAAAATTGTGAAAAACAGAATGTTGTGCATGACCATATTCAATGTTAATTTTGTTTGCTTTTCCTTCACACTGTCTACCATAAAATTGACCATTTTTTATACTTATTTGCAACAAACTTACAAAGAGAACCAACTTTGACAGGGGTCTTTCAACCCTGGCCCTTTTATCATCTTGCATTTATTTAGATGACGTATAATTATTGCTCTACCCACTTTAGAGTTGAGGATTCTTGACATTTCAAAGATTATTTATTCTTCCTGTAGTTATTAAGCAACTTGGATACTCAACACTCTTTAAAGTCCGAATTTATGTTTACTTACGACAAATAACCCTCACTAATTAAAAATAAACGTATATGATAGCATTTTCGTAACAACAGATGACAAAAGAGTCCAACCACAGTTCGTGAATATACTGTGTAGTTTCCCATGTTCACGATTTATCGCAATTTTTTTCTATACAAATACTATTGTTATTCGTACTTTTATCTACAGTACTTCTTTTCTGCTTTTGCTTAATTGTTTGTTACCGTCATCATGATCGCCAGGTGAATTATCCGTCCCCTTTTATGCCTCTAATCTTTCGCTATACTCAAGATTAGCAACATTTTGAACATCATAGAGCCGTACAACAAAAAGTCCTTTCTCTTTATAAGCAGCGGATTTTGACTCTTAAATATTTGGTTAATCCTTGACATAGATACGATCAACAAAGAATATCATAATTCTGAAACCGTGATCGATATTTACGAAATGCGAAATGAATTTTCGATCCCATCATGACCTGATGGATTCGAAGGTTACTTACAACACTTGAAGTTGGAAGACCACGTGTAATTTCACCTTTAACCTTTTCAGTGAACGGTTTTGATTTGATTAACTAGTTTTGAAGTCAATTGGTTTTAGTAGGTTGTTCCTATAAGACTCATGTCGATCGACTAGTTTGACGAAATATATATTATATTGTGTATTTTTGGTGTCTGCTAAAAAATACAGTTGACGCTACAAGCCGTATCTTCGGACACGGAGAATTAATTTCATTTTCATTGAATTAATGCTAAACAGGTAGCTTTGTGTCATCCTATATACGGTGCAATCATAATGTGTGTGAAATGAGTGTGACTGTACCCTCCATACACCGTTATTACAGATTTTGCCAAACACCTGTTAGGTTATTATATAATCATTGAGATAAGTAAAGCGTAAAGGGTAATTTGTGCTATTTAAAGCTTACATACAATTTTACGCATTTTGAACATAATGATAGCAGGCACTGGATGAGATGATTTTTATATCGTTCGCTATGAGTGGATGTTCGATTAAAGACGACTTCATGCAACTAAGATACAAATGTGAAGATGGATATGTGGTGTGATCAGAATATATGGGATAAGAAATGAGTATATAAGAGGAAGTTTGAAAGTAGCTCCATTGACGTCCAATTTATCGAGTTCGATTTGTTGTTGTCCAAAGTAGAATCAAGCTTTGTTTCTATAGAGTACGCTCTTGTGAGGAAGGCTGTGAGACGGCATAGTAAGAAAAAATTGTAAGGGGATTGTTACCAAAATCCATAAGGTAAAAGGTATTTAAGGAATAATTTAGTAAAGATGCGAAGTATTCGTTTGTGTCCTTACACTTGGACACAAAGATGCTGATTATATTACCCGAAAATGGTAAATATTATAGTAGACAACTTCAAAAGCAAGGTCTGTACAAAGTAAAGATGATATTTCCAAAGGGAAAGAAAATAGATGTGCAGGGTAACTGCGCCGACCTCAAATAATGGGATAAGAGTAGCTGTAGGTTAAAGTTCGATATTTAGACAACTACTATATTAAGCTGCATGTCGATCTTTATTTATATTTAACTGTTTGACAAAGGAAGACTTGTTTCTAATTGAACACCTAAAAATATTTAAAGTCATAACTTATTTGATCTTGCCGAAAATGAGTAATCAAATTTGCTTTGCCATCTAAAGAAGGAAATATAGATTAGTCAAAATATACTACCGCAGATTTGATGCGTACTGCAAAAGATATTCTACATCGAGCGAATCGGAAATTGATCACCTATTTCTAGAAACGTCGGATGTTGTTGAAACTGTAATTTTCCCCAAGGACTTTTTGTATGATAATGCAGACATTTATACTACTATAGGCATTGACTTACAAATAAATGGACGACGGGTCTAATACAAAAACCACGAAAAAAATGTCCCAAGTCAACCTATTCGAAATTTAAATTGTTATGTCATCGCAGTATCGCGCTGTCCGTAGAACAAATGAAGACTAAAGCGGAGTGTCGCGCTCTGTATACGATTTTAGCGCCTTACAAGTGCGGACACTTTTTAGCGCGGACCCGACGTCCATATAATTGTAAGTCAATGACTATAGGTAATATTCTTGTACAGGATGACCTACAAAACGATTTTGACTATTTACTTCCATTACTTTACTGCAGATAAATCGCGTAAGGCAACAGCCCTATAGCATTAATATTCTGTTTTCTGGTTCAATATTGCCGTGTAAGCCACAAACTATTTGTTTAACAGATTTAAAATTTAACGAGCAATTCTAAGCCTCACAGATACGACATCGACGCCACAAGTGTGGCCTTGCATTCCTCCGTTCGTCACGTAACCATATCAGCCAACTAAAGGCTTTTTAAGGCGAATCGTGCTTTTACTTGTGTATATCATTATTCAAAGAAGGCTAAAAATGTGCGCTATTGCTTGTTGCAGGATCCTACTCGTGTGGTATGCCCGGTCATTGACGTGATCAGCATGGATACCTTCCAATACATTGGAGCTTCGGCAGATCTTCGAGGAGGTTTCGATTGGAACCTCGTCTTTAAGGTACCTGCAATGTATTTAGTTTATTGCAAAGGCGCATTTCTTTCCGCGTTCTATTGTGCTCCCTGACAGCCCGTGTCCTAGTTTGACTCCGTCTAAATGCGTATCGCTAAGGAATGGAATTTCCTACGTGCGGCTTTGTTACCAGATAAAGGACAATATGAGCATGTTCTAAGGCATAAAAAATAAAGTGAAAAACAAATAATAAAATACAATAATTAACTTTCTATAGTATTTCTCAGTGTATTTCAATGCTAGCTAGTATAAATTGTATAAGTATGTTAAGTTGTCATTGACTTACAAATGAATGGACGACGGGTCTAATACAAAAACCACGAAAAACATGTCCCAAGTCAACCTATTTAAACGTAGTGACATGTCAAGGAATATGAAAAAGCTAAAACGTTGAATTTAAATTGTAATGTCATCGCAGTACTGTCTAATTTTGCTTGCTTCGCTGTCAGTCGAACAAACGAAGACTAGAGCCTGAATAACGCTCTGTATACGATTTTAACGCCCTATAAGTTCGGACACTTTTTAGCGCGGACCCGACGTCCATATAATTGTAAGTCAATGTAAGTTGTCAACAAATTTAATTTAGTTTGTGATTGTTGTTTTGAGATTGCCGTCAACCATTGTAATTGTTGTGTTTACAATGTTAGAACACCCAAGTCAAATACGATAAAAATATGTTGTGAACATAATGTTAGTGTTGCTAATAAATAAATAAATGGTTGCCTTAAAAATAAAAAGAATCATTCATGCGGTCGCATTCGCAAAGATATTGAGCAATAAAGCAATGCCAAACACATATACCTAAGCGCAAACCAAAAATTTCCGAAAAGTTTTGTCATAACAATTATTTTCTTCAACATTGAGTATACAAATATCTTCCATATTATGCCTTTTATGATAAAGTATAAAGCATTATATGCATACATTTAACTAACGAACAAAATAGTAAAGAAACACCTAACTTAACATTTGATATTCTGACCCAATGGAAGCCACTAAACTAAAGCACTTTAACCAGCTCTCGTGTCAGGTTTACTCGCGCCAAGGTAAACAGCTCTCAATTTACGTGTTGCATACGATACGATATTCGAGTTTATCGATTGTACGTGGTAATTAATTCGTGCAACTTGCAATATCGAATGAATTTTCATTAACATCAAGAGTGGACACAAATTGTGGAAAAAGTTAAGTGCTGAAAGTTGAGTGTTTTTGAATGACCACAAAAATCTACTGTCTCACAGAAGGTTTTGGTAATCCACATTCAAGGCAATCAACACGACACAACTGCCTACTAGAAATACTACGGCCGGAAAGTGCGTAAAAGGTTACACAAGGTTACTAAAATTCTAATTTGAATGTTGGAAGAGACTATTTTTAATAATATAAGGTTTAAAATCGCAGACACGCGTAACATGTTTAATTCATGCATGCTAACTCGCAACACGCAAGACTACAATAAAACAAACCTGCTGTTTAATTAACTTAATGAATGCAAATTTAACAGGCCTCTATCTATACTCGGTACAGTCTAACCAAATGCAGTTGCTTTCTAAATGTAGGCTAAAGCATTGCACCGTTCTGTGACCTATCGGTTCTATAAATCTAAGGTCCAGGTCCTCTCACTTCCTTGTTGTGTAATCTGCTAAATTATATACTAGGTTGAATATTGCACTTGTATTTCTCAGAATGATGTCACTTGGAAATTATAAGGCCATTGATCGTCATCAAATCAAATTACTGGGTATATAAAAGTTTTAGCATTTCATGCCAGTTTTCGGAATACGGTAATTTAATGATAAAAAAATATTTGGTCTCAGTGACTACAGCGAACTTCTCTAAACAAAAAACTTCTTAGCATAATTTGACTGTATTACATGAGGGTCTAAGGCGAGGACAAACGCGGGACACGTGAGTTGCCCTTTAAGTTGGAAGCTATATCAGCTATCCGGCACTAGCCCGGAGAGCTAGAAGAGGATAAGGTTATTGGGAACTGGAGCGATGCCGTATTTTTTCAGTGGTGGGAAGTGAGCGTGCAGTACAGCTCCACCACCAATGCGGAGATTTGGTAGTGGACTTAGAGTCGACGGCTTAGCGATAGCAACCGCTAGTTGTGCAAAACACAACGGGAAGTGAGCGAGCCTACAGCTCCGGTACCTATCTGCAAAATAGGGAGGGTACTGTATACGTGCACCCAGGGCGGTTCACCCACGGCGCTAGTCTCTTTAGAACCGGATGAAGTCAGTGACAACGGTCTGTGACAACCCTGTACACTGGCTGATCTGGGGTTAGAACCTGAACTTAAGATTCCTGTGCGCACACAGGTTATAGTGCCCTTTTCGCAGAACCAAGAAGTTAACCAAAACTTATGTAAAAAAGGTATGGGAGCTGTACTACATGAGAGTGCAGTCCATTCAAAGTAGACTTTGGTTCGGTTTTGGATTTGTATTCTATCTAGTCCATGCAGTTTTTTTTATAATATCAAGTGATGGGACGAACAAGTCGTGCATCTGATAGTAAGCTACACGCTGTTCATAACAGTTGCAGTGCCACTCAGAGCTTTCAATCGCAAAGATCTGTGGGGCAGTTGACAAGTCTCATATGCCTGTAATTTCACCAGCACCCTTACCCTTCAAAACCGGAACACAGTAATTCTAACCCTACTGCTTGGTGGCAGAAATAGGTAAGGTGGCAGTACTTTCCTGGACGAACTCTTCCACAAGGAGCTCTACAGCTACTAAACTGTGTTTTATTATATTTTTTGTATGTTAGTCTTTTCTATCTTTATCTTTAGTCAGTAATCTAATGACGTTAAATTTCAGTGGGAATACCTATCTCACTCCGAGCGTAGTGCCAGACTCAGCGACCCGACACAAGTGATCAGGACACCCATGATCGCTGGTGGACTATTCAGCATGGATCGCCTGTACTTCAACAAGCTTGGCAAATATGACATGGAGATGAACGTCTGGGGAGGAGAGAATTTGGAGATTTCTTTCAGGTAAGTAATCTCACTCAAAGTTCAGTACCTATTACGAAAATTGTAATTTCGCAATACCTTTGACAGTCGACTGACTGTCGCGCTATTTTAAACCCTAAAGTTAATGAATGACCTATCCGCAGAAGAGACACTCGGCTAACTCAAGGGCTTATATGCTAGCATAGAATCATTAGTTTGTTATTAGACTAATAGGCTTTATATAATTATTGATTGATGACGACAACAAAGATGGTGTAACTCCATCCAAAGATGTCGTTAGATTAACTCTTGCATACAATTTTAACAAGTATAACAGAAGAAATAAACCGCGTAACCAATTGTTTTTTGGATCAATGCAGCTGAAGAAAAACAAATAAACTGAGCTTGTAAAACAAACAAAAACACTTTCCAGTGATGACTCATGATCACATGCGATAGTTAGATAAACAGTTTAATAACGTAGTTTATGATTATATCACCTAATATTTGATGGCATAACGATAACCTCTCTTGACATCGGAATTCCGATACTATGAGTTCATTCCGAGTTTGTTTTAATTTTATGTTTTTTAATGAATTCGGTTAGATAATACTCTTATATAGTCAAAAGATTCAAAGATTCTGATGAGGCAGCTGCAGTGTGACTACTGACTGACCGCTATTGAGGTACTCCCTTTCCCACAAAAAACAATCGGAACAACCGGAGTAAGCGCGTAATATACACATAGCAAAGGACAATTTTATTTTCTGTAGTAGACCTAAGAACGCAGCAGGAAAATAATCAAGACTTTTTAAGCAAATTAGTTTAATCAACTTCCATGAATCTTAGACCATCTCTCATTTCTAATTACAGAGTTTGGCAATGTGGAGGCTCCCTAGAAATCGTGCCCTGTTCCCGTGTAGGTCATGTGTTCCGCAAACGCCATCCCTACACCTTCCCTGGAGGTTCTGGAGCGGTCTTCGCGAGGAACACCAGGAGAGCTGCCGAAGTCTGGATGGATGACTATAAGGAACTTTATTACAGATCTCAACCCTTAGCGAAACAGGTCGATTACGGGGAGTAAGTGTATCATTAAATAATTTTTTTGCTTTTTTAACGGGATCAAAGAAAAGATCATCAGATGAATCAAAGGAAAAGAAGTATATTCAAGCAATTTTTCAAATGTCATCTTTATTTGGATAATTTTGAAACTTTTAAAGAAAACTGTCCAAGTTTCCCTATTTGTTTATCTTAGGGCGCCTTCAAATTAGGCGCTTATAGTAGCGCAGCAGTGGCGCCACCGTGGCGCTGCAATCACACCACTACTAATTTTGATATACTATTTAATAGCGGCACGTGCAGCAGTCGTGACACGCGCGTGCCACTTTTGCAGACTAGATATTGTACGAACCCCCCACTTCGCAGCACTTCGACAAGCATTTAATTTGAAAGTTTCTTCTATGAAAGCAATTATTTTTCTATTTCAGTATAAATGAACGACTAGCACTTCGAGAGAAGCTCCACTGCAAACCATTCCGTTGGTACTTAAACAATGTGTATCCAGAATTGCAAATCCCGGCCATGGTTGGAAACGTGCATTCCATTCGACAAGGTTTGCGGTGTTTAGATACCATGGGCCACCTTGTTGATGGTACTGTAGGTAAGTAATCTTTGAGGAGGTAATTAATAAATCCTGATTATATAATATTTTGATAAGTTCACGATGTTTTTAACGCCCCGGAATAAAATTAGTAATCTGATATCAGAGTAGAGTAATCTAGTTAATCGGTGGACCATATATTTGTCGACAACCGAAAGGCGAAAGCTGTTAAAAATTGCCTGTAATGGCCCATTTACACGGGGCCAATTGACGCCATTCCACAAAGTCAAGCCATTAAGCCGGTCTAGTGAACAGTGTAAAATTCGCATCGTCCATCTTCACTACAGCCAGTATTACAATAAGTTTATTTAAGATTCTTTACTAAACGGCAAGGCAAACTGGTGGAGTGGCTCAGGATGCACGTTCACACAAAGCCATTACATGAGTTAATTCAATGCACATGTGGTGGGGGAAATCATTCTACTTTAGTGGATTGTCTTTATCAACGGTCAGGAGGCCTACCACAACCTCTTAAAACAATATTACTTTAACCTTACATTGACTTTTAACATAACGCGCTTGAAGTAAGCTTATTGTAATGTTAAAACTATGATGTTTTATTGGCAGCTTTGCGACTATTCATTCACTCAGTTCGTACTATGATGCAACTTTAACATTAAAGTAATATTGCTCTTATGTCAAATTTAGCAATTATAAAATAGTTACACAGTCACAGTGGAAACAATATTATTTTCAGTTTTATTGTCTTACCATTCATTTGTAATTATTAAAAGTTAAGTTGAACTTATTTATTTATATATATCTCTTTAATATTCTGTTTATTTTTTATTTAATAGCACATAGCAAATACGCGATGTTTATTTCGTAAAATTATGACAGCGCCATCTATACGCTCCTACTACTCCTATTACTTTATTACGCTCCTACTATCATCTACATGCGCCTCCTCCTGGGGCGAAGCTAACAGTTGACACTAGACTATAGTTCCGAATTCACAACGTGACTATCAAGACTCAGCTTGTTTTATTTATTTTTCTTCATGAAAATGCGGTAGGTACGAATATGAGTAATATTATAATAAGCTTACTTTAAGCTTACATTGAATTGAATTTATGAATTGAAAGGTTGTAGTAGGCCCCATAATGGATTGTCTCTATTTACACGACACCAATATTATAGCTTGGCTTCATGGAATGGCTTGCCGATTGGCTCCGTGTAAACGGTCCTTTAGAAACAGTTAAAAATTGCCCAAAGTGTAGCGTTGTAAATCTGATATCGACTATTAATAATATAATATTTTTCAATCCACTGTGCACCAGAGGTGAGGAATATTGGATACCGCTTCAAAGTGGATTAATAAAAATAACGGAAAATAATTAAATTTTCAGGCTCTATTAAGAGCTGTTATGACCAGTCTTTCAGAATTCTGACTTATTTTAACTTGAAAGTGTTGACCAAATTTGCTGCATCTATATTTTTTATAAATTTTATTTTAGTGTTGTATGCAAACTTTATTCTTTGAAACCTGACTTACGTCTGCCTACACCTGCTTTCTTCTAAGGGCGTTTTCGTCTGTCTATCGGTGTAAACACCTTCTTTTCATTCGTTTGATTTCCTGGCATTTTGTTAAAAAAAACATTATGCTAGAAATAATCCGTGACTCATAGTATTTGCCGACATCTCACGGATCACATCTGTACTACTAACACATCTCATATCGTGTTGACATTAGTCCAATGATCGATGATAGATCTTACAGTCGTGGTCACGCCACGTATTGTAGATGGCGCTATTTTATTCTTTACTAATGTATTGTTAACCTGTTTCAGGCATGTATCCCTGTCACAACACAGGCGGGAACCAAGAATGGCGATACGAGAATGGTCTTCTCCGGCATCATAGCATATGTATTTCACTCTCGGAAGACCGAGTAACTGCGGTTTTAGCCGCCTGTGACCCAACAGACGACGCCCAGTTATGGAAATGGAAAGGCCTTACGATCAGACACGCAAAACTCGATTCGTGTCTGGATTCCGCGAGACCAGAATTGTATTTGGAACAATGTGACGAAGACAAACCAAGTCAACAGTTCACGTTCTAAAGAACTTTCAAATAGTCAATCGAAATGAGACTCGTGTTAGTGAAAAGTGAGAGAGTTCAGATGTATAAACGCTTCTAAGCCTTCCATTGGTTGTTTGGAACTGTGAAGCAAGTGTCCCTACATTCTTTTGTATGAGAAATAAGTGGCATCTTTAAGCATTAAGTTACGACTCTATGAATTGTGGCACCTGAAAAGTACATGAGTGCTTGGCTGCGGAATGAAGAATCGATATCGAAGTGATACCTATCGAAGTTTCAGAGGTGAATATTTGATTTAGTGGTACTTATCTAAGAGAACTTTAACGAAATGAATTAATTGCCTAAAATTATCAATTAGCCACGAGACTTCTTCCGTGTAACATAGACTTACTTTACAAATTCGAGGAAAGCAAATTTTGAACATATATCACAAAATTCTGACCCGAATTATCTAAATAATATATTTCCATCAAATTGTGGGTTTCAATTATTCGTTTTCAATCAACCACGATTGAGTAGTTAGAAATCTTATTATTTCTTCAGTCTTAAAGGCTTCTTGCTTTCATTAATTACAATATTCTGATAATTTTTTGTCAGATAATATTCTGATAAGTTTTTGTCGGATAATAAAAAATAATAATTTTCCAAATAAGCATTCCATCTGTTTTGTATTATTTATAAACAATGTATCCGATTTCTATTTATACGTCTTAAACATTCGTATATAGTTATGTATAATTAACGGAAGTTACTATTAAAATTAATTTCATGTACGATATTAGGTAATCTCCATTTAAGTGTAGATACAATTTATTCGTGTATATTTTACGTAATTAATAGTTACCACATTTAGTTATGCAGGGTGTTTTTGATAAAACTTTTGAAGGTCATTGTGAATGAGAATGTACGAACAATTTTTGAACAATGTTGAATGATAACAGATTTACATTATTCTAAGGTTTTGTTCTTTATTTAAAAAACTAGGCTCTTGTCGGTGGAGCAATCGCCAACCAGGTCTATCTAACCAGCGCCACTGACTTTGGTTTCCTATTACAACACGACATTTTTTCATTAACTTTTCATTTGTTTTTAAATGTTTTTAATTGCGTCACTTTATTATAAAAAGTCATAGTGCTATACTACTCAGTATCACAACTACTAGACTTTCCACAATATGCTACCAGAGAATTCTGAAATATTTTGGTCATATTGCTTGCCAACAACCAGACAACCGTGACAAACTGGTTATGGTGAGAAATGGAGTGACCAAGTGACCGCTGTCACTGGCAACTGCCCTAAGAGAAGTCGAAAACAGAATGGATAGATGGAAGGAATTCGTCCAATAAGTCTCGAACACAATCGGGAACACGACCTCCATTGACGAAGATACGACTGAAAAGAAGATTATTGAAACTGCGAAATTATCGTGAATAATAAATAAATCAATAATAGTTAATGTAAAATAAAATTGAATAACTCAAAACTAAAATACAATGACGTCCAATACTAAATAATTAATATGAAAGGAATACTTCTAATTCGCTAAAAATCCTCAAATTAATTTTCCAATACAACAGGTTTTTATCTGGTGTAAAATAATTAGTTTCTAAGACTTTGCAGATTTGCTGGTAGATGTGCGTAAAATCGGAGACTCTGCCCTCCTTGTTATATATAAACAACGCACTTGTATTTTGGTAACTTGGGAGAAATTGACACCTAAAGCACAGATTACTTAATAAGATACACCACAATCATAGAAAATCGAAAATACCTTCGCTATAATAGCCTGCTAAATCTGACAAATGACACCAGGCGCTCACTACGAGGAAAAAGGAATGTAAGCACGCGTTCAGAGAGATGAAAATAACGTTGCCCGCCGTGTGCAGTTGTGCGGAGCTGAATGCTCATAAATGAAAGGCGTTTGTGCCGACGTCGATACTCTCAGCGGTAGGCACTTATTGCGTAACCTTGAGCGAGGGACGGAGCCCTGCCTAAAGATTTTTTTTCTTTGAAAAATCAACTACAACCAGTTACACTGATTTTGCTTAACAATAAAACTGAAACAAACAAGATATAAAAAAAACCACTGAGTTGTAATGGGTGGTAGACCATGTTTTGCTAATTTTAAGCATATTAATAACTCAATTTCGCTAAAAATGTGGATTACGTTAGTTATGGATAAGGAGGGCAGTATTATTCACTGGTCTCGTTGGTTTTTTTCGACATTTCGTAATGTTGAACCTGCACCCATTCATCGCCCGTACTAACATTATTATACTGAAATGAGTCTCAGAAAGTTTTACTTTAGTTCACCAAATTTAAAACACCTTACATGCTAAATATTGTAAGTGCCGGGAATGTGGAATGAGGATAATATTAAGTCATCACTTAAGTAGGAACGTTTGGCTTTAAATTAGCTAGAATGCACTTATAAGACTAATATGTACGTAGAATATTGTGTTTAATAATAAATACACCCTTACATATAACTTCCAATCCTTTAAGTATTTTTTTCTTTAACTGCATAGTAGTGAAGTTTGAAATATGAGCAAATGAAGAATGATTTCAACAACAAGCACTTTAATAGATATCTAACTACAGGAAAAGCGACTATAAGTTAACGAAATAAAGTCCATTTTAAAAGTCAATTATCCAAAGAAAATTACAAAATTGAATTTCATTTTATTGTAAATCTCTTAGTGCCTGTATTGCAATGTAATAAATGATCATACAAACAACGGTAGTTAAGTAAAATAAGTAACTAAAAAAAAGTTATTTTTAATAGATTGAAAGTGATATCAAATCATGTACGTACTTCTCGTACTAAAAGTTGGTACTATTAAAGAATACGCTTAACTAGGCTAAATAAAATATAGTCTTTAGAATACTATATACATTATTTACGGTCACAATTAGCACAGAAACATTCATAGAAACTAGGACGAAATTTATTAATTAATTAAAACAGGAACTAGTTGAAAAGATGCGCGCTTAAGAATACCTGAAGGCCGGAAGTATTTAATGTAACTTTATTGGTCATCAAATCCTATATTTGTTAGGCAATACATGGCCGACAGCGAGAAGTTTATTCCATTTATTTAAAAAACTAATTGATCCTGTCACTCGTAGATGGGTGGTGTTCACAATAACGGACGGACCACTGCTAGTACATGTAGGGCGTGATAGATAAGATTAACAAGCTATACTCTGCCTCTATAATTGTCTGAGTCCCAAAATAGTTCAGTCTTTTGCAAGCGGAGTTGTAGCTAATTGGATTAGCTAGCTCTAAAAAAACGTTTTGTTATAAAAATATAATGTAATGCCCCTTTAACGCCAAGAGTCGCCACCGAGGGTGACAAAAACAACCAACTTGCCCAAAAATAATCCTTAACATGGTAGCGGTTTTTCGATTTCGATGACAGTACACTCCCGTTGGAAAGATAGGGCGCCTTCAAATTAGACGCTTATAAAAGCACTGCAGTGGCGCCACTGTGGCGCTAAAGTTGCGCCACTACTAATTTTCATACAATATTTGGAAACGCAACAGTCGTGACAGGCGCGCAACGCTTTAGCAGTCACAATTGGTGAACTAAAAATTACAGAAGCGTTACAGACGCGCCATTGCTCTACAACCGTCTATTTTAAAAGTGCCTGTAGTAATTACGCGCGTGTGTTACAATTTGCTGTTTTCTTTAATATTTTTCATGGTAATTCCTATGAATGTGATTGTTTTCATTTTATTTAGCCTGGTTAAAATTTTAAATAACAATTGGTGCAATACTTTTACTATATTTATCAAAAAATATAAAGTTTGTATTCGCTCAAGCGCTCACGTATCATTTCGTTTAACAGTACAAGATAGTAGTGTAAAATATAGGTTAAGACAATCGTAATTAAATTTAGAAAAATATTATCAACTGTGGAAACCAGAAAATAGATGGGTATTCAATTGATTAATTTTCGTATTAAACAAATTTCGCGTCCATTATTATTTAAGTTTTAGATTATCACTTAAAATACTCGCTATTTTTAAAATTTTCTTTGTATATTTTTTAATAACGTATTTTAATATTTAAAATTCTATCACTGTGTGAGTTTTTTCGTTTAATCTTAAAGCTGAAGACAATTTACATTGCCGCGGGACGGAATGGAAGCTAATTTCAGTAACGAAATTGTACATAGCATAATGGATTTTATGTCAATTGTGTAACAAACACTACACTACAAATTATACTCTAGCTAAATTCGACAACATTATATGGTTTGACAACAAAGCATTGCTATACAACCAAAAAAAAACATTTTTTGTCAACCCTTGTTATTCAACCTGGCTCTATTTAAACGGGGGAATAGGTAATTGGGTTATGTGGAAGCAATATTTACCTGGCCAATTATTATAAAATTTGCAAAGACGTATGATTTATGAATAAAGTAATTAAGTTTTTGATACCTATTGATACTTACTTTCCCTATTAGAATAGTTACTAATTAGATGTAAAGTAACAATTTACTTTACCTAAAAAGTAATAATACTTTAAGATTTTTGTATTAATTGAACACATATATCTCATTCAGCATCTATTTCCAATTTTGACTCAAATTACAACCATTTAAATGAAAAGACCATTAAGGATGACACGGTATTATAAATAACTAATTACTTGTCATTTTTACGTTGGTATTGAACAAAAGTCATCACAAACAAGATTAACATTACCAATAGCCTGGTCGAATTTCGGTGAAAAAAATCGAAATTGTGGTAACTGTAAATAGAGGTGACAACCCTAAATCATAGGTTTTTGTTCGATGACATTTTATTCTACATCGAATTTGACTACAGTATAAATGCGATACGGTAGTTGCAAGAATTCCCGAGATTGCGCGAGAATTCTCTAGTAGACACGGGATCTGTTTTTTGGCTCGTGTCTAGTTGTACGTGAAATAACTGACATAAAATTAATTACGTTCCACGGCAATGAAACTTGAACCTTACCATATATTTTTTTTAAATTTCTAAAGTATAAAAAGGTTTATATAATAGAAAACCTAATTTTAAACAAAAAAATCATCACAAAAATCTCGAATGTTACTTAATATTAATGCATGTTACTAATCTCGAATAGCTACCAATTAACTGCCGATATATTAGAAAAGTTTATCTCACTTGCACAATGATATAATTGTATTTCATGTTATACTAAATATGAAATATTGTCAAATTAAAATATAAACTCAAGAGTATATTTCAAATGCTTAAAAATGTTGAATTATGATAAAAATGTTCATAGGAACCACTGTTCACATATACCGGAATGTTTAATTTTAATATAGTTGATTTTTAGTTCAGGAGTTCCTCTCATCTGTCTGCTATTTCCATCATCCGGTCCGCTCTAGGTCATCATAACATTGTAACTGCCTCCGTTACCATGCTAGCCGGGAGAAATATTTGTCTACATTTATTTCTTTCGTGAGTTCGGGAGTAATTTCTGGTGGTCTATGTGTGTGTACATGGTACTCGCGACACAGGG